GTCTAAGGCAATAAATGAGGAGGGGCCCGCAAGGCGGCGGGCTATGTTTGCTCCCGCCGAGAGCAGGCTTTTGCAAACTATCAAGTTCCTTCCACCTTATGCAACCGAGCTACCCACTTCTCTTAAGCCGTGCGACATTCAGGGCGCATCTCAGCCGCTTTCCTTCCTGCTCCCTCTGGGGGCCCCAGAAGAGGGGTTTGCTAGGCCTGGCCGCGCTGCCTTGCTCCACTGGAGGCGGGAGGAGGCGCGCCGCTTGAGGCACAGGCTGCTGCTCTAGGGGCCAAGGCTGACGCTAAAGTGGGAAGAGAGGAGGCCAGCTTGGCGCAGCCGGACGTGCATCCTTCCGAACTGCCACTTCGGGGAAGCCCTTCGAACGCCTCACCTGAAAGGCGGTCCACTCGAGGTGGGGTAAGGGTTCGAGGGGGAGACTTCTCACGTAGAGATGCCTTTCGGGTGCTGCGGGGCAGGTAGGAGCTGTCCTTTCAGCACCCGTTGCTCTGCCGCCCCCCAAGCCTGTCGGTTGACTCCCTTAGGTCCCTGCAGGAACAGACCTCAGAACCCTGGCACTGAGTGACGACGAATGGCCACCAAAAGGCCTGAAAGCACTCCCCTCCCCCTAAGCACTGCCCGTTTCAGATACATCTAGCCCAGCTGCCCCCACCCGACGCGGCCACCAAGTCTGGGCGCTGCAGACACTGCAGCTGGCGAAATCCCTCCTTCCACACTGTCAAGCTGGTTTCCTTTCACTTGCGAGAGAGGAAGGGGGTGGCAGAAAGCGTCTGGGGATTAGGAAACAAGTAGAGGAACAGGTGCTGTGATGGCAAAAGAACTCTTCCAGTGTCCCTAAACTCAAAGCCAGGGGTCCTGGAGCTAGCCAAATGCACCAGAGGATGGGTAGGCAATAGCAGCAGCAAAACAGGGTGTTCTTCTGTTGCACTTAAAACACATCTTAACATCTAAGAATTTTAAAAATTCTATTTGAGACCCAGGAGAACACAAGAACAGGATAGATATCCTCAAAAAAGGGATCTGGCTCACAGGCGGGAGGACACATAAATAGGACCCACCTGATTTTGTGAGGCAAGGGTTGGTTTGTACAAATCATACCAGGAGAAAAGGAAACAACCACGAGTTGAAGTATCTTGCAGCCCTTGTTCCTGGGCAGTCATGAGCCTTCTGCTTCTTTCTTTACCACCCCCACAGCGCCTCTTGGGGCAGCTCCTCCCAACTCCACCCGTGTACCTTTCCCAGAATATAGGTCCTCAGGCCAAGGAGAGATACCAGTCCCATTAATCATCTCTACCCGAATCTTGGAAGGAGTCAAAGAAGGGAGACGGACCCAACAATCATGCTCACAGGGCAGATTCCGTTTGCTGCCTCCAGTCCCTCATTCCCGCCTTAATTGTAGGGCTCTGCATTATGGTCGCATAATTCATGCCTCCCTAATTAAGGCTGTCAACAGCCCCATTGTAAAGCTGGAAAATGTACAGCACCTGCTCTCTGGGAACCCCGTGCCAGGGATTGGTAGTGGGGAGTGCCAGGTGTGTAGGGGGCCTTGCCAAAGTATGTTGATTGGCTTCTCAACCGCACTGTCTGGCATTTATGCTCGATTCTGGGAGTAGGAATGATGGCCAAGGGGTCTCCACTGCCAGGTATGTAGGCATAGAAAAGGAGGAAGAAACTAGAATATAGAAAATTTAGGGGTCTAAAGAGTACACTCAACACAGCTTGCAAGATCCCACCTCTCTCCTGGAAGGAAGTGCTGGGAAACAGCTTGCAGAATATAAAACGATAAGACTAGAGTAGCATTTGGCCGGCATTACTGGTTGGTCCTTGCTGCTCTGGGGCACCTAAAGCACGGAGTTGCTCAGGCAGACAGCTCTTCAAAGGCAGTAATCCTCTCGCCAGCTCTGCAGAGCTGCCTGGCAAGGGGAGGTAAAGAAAAGGACATAGCCTTGAATCTGTACTCATCTTCCTGCTGGGCAACCTTGGCCCTCATGGGCAGAGAGGATCTGGAACAAGTTTTGCCATGCTGAGAATAAATCGTCTTGGGGCCGACGTAGGGAGCCAGGTCAAAGAGCTATGGGAAGCCTCAAATATTGGAAGTAGGAATCAAGAGTTTGAGATGGTGAGGGCCAGAGGCAGTCAGGTGGGAAGATATGTATGTTCTACGCTGATGTGTCACAAGGAAGGAAGCCAGTGTTGGATTAGACTCACCAGGGCCTAGAGGCCCTTGTTACCCTGGAGCCATGGAGGGGGCCAGTCTCACTGGGGAGTGCAGCCTGGCCCCATGCCCTGCAAGGGGAGGGGAAAAGCTTGTGTGGGCTGAGTGGACAATAGGTAATTGGATTGTAATCACCCGCCTGGCTTCCTAGCGCCATTGGGGGCGCTGAGCCTTTCAGTGAGCAATCAGTATTGCGTGGTGGGAGGGGGTAGAGATTCAATAGCAAATCCCAGGTGGAGAGCCAAGGGGAGGAGCAGCAGATGGGCAAATTTTCTCTGTCTCTCCCGCCCCTTTCTTCCTTGCCCAAATAACACTGGCTGCCTATTAGCTGTTTACCAGCAGAAACAAGGTAGAGCCAAATCTTTTGTGAAAGTCAGGGGAGGGCTAAGATGGATGGGTAAAGGGCTCAGCAGTGGAGAGACCTCTTTGCTGCCATTCTGTGTGCTGAAGGATGTGCTGGTAGAAAAACTGCATCCAGAATATAGGTGGTGGTGGCAAAGGTGAATGGAGCAAATAGCCAATGAATTGGGGTTCCTTGCTCTCCAAACCTACTGGTGTACTGGGTTTAGTGTACTTGTATGAGACTCTCACCTTCAGGGGCCATTATCCCAGTCCAAAGGTATGTATAGCCAGCAGAATTGGCATTGGGGGCTCCCCTAACAAGCCAAGAGGAGTGAAATTCATCACTTGGAGGGAGGGGCCTTTCTAAAAAAAAAAAAAAGGGGGCGGGTGGGGAAAGGAAGGGGAGTGGGGCCCTGGGGGCTGGAGGGCAGGGCAAAGTGGCAGGTGGCCAGCCTCATTCAGGCTGATGCAGTGCCCAGACGTGCCAGCCAGTTAGCTCGCTTGAGTTTCAAGGCCTGCAGGAAGCCTTGGACTCGCTCTTCTCGTCTGGCTGAGAGTTTGTGCAAGCGTGTCCGTCGGAGCTGGGCGTCCCCACTGGCCTGGAGCCCCTCTCGCAGCAGCTGCTCTGTCACTGCAGCCTGGTCCCTCTCCAGCTGGTGCCTCTTCAGTTCCTCTGCATACGTGTCTCGGGCCTTCTGCTAGGAGAAAAGTAGGGTTTGGGGTGGGGAGATCATGTTTAGGTATGGGCAGAATTGGGATGGAGGAAGTAGAGTAGGGCACAGGGTAGGCCAAGTGAAGTGGAACTGTGGAATTTGGACCAGCTTTGGAAAGTTTTGGGAATAGGTGTGCAGTAGGTGGTGCCCACATTGTGCAGGCAGGGCAATGGCAGTTAGGGATCCATCTTGGTTTGTTTTGTGTAGCAGCATCTGTATTTCTCAATTCTTCTCAGGCTTGCACTTGAAAGGGAACCTGAAAAATGTGGATCTGACTTCTGATTTCCCCACCAACTAGCCTCGTGGCTTTGGGCAAATCCTTTCCTAACCTCATTTCTTCATCTGTAAAGTGGGGGTTGTGCGTACCTTGAAGAGTGGTTTTAAGGATTAGAGATAATATATGCAAAATCCTCTTTAGCATATTAGCAGGCTCTCAGACAGAAACAGCAATTTTACATGTTGTTATTGTCTATTGTTTGCTGCAAGGAAGGGTTCTATTCCCGTCTGGGGCACTGTTCATTGTGTCACTTCCTGTGGTCTCCCAATTACTCTGGGAGTGCCATCCTTCCAATTCCCTGAATGAGTTTTCAGCTCCAGACTCTTCTCCTGTGTAAAGTCAGGCCTGCCTCTTCCAGCAAATGGCCTTTCTGTGAACACTGAGAAGCAAGTTCAACTCTCTCCAGTCACTTATTGCATCTTCCTAGAACAGGTGTTAGTGTCCGGAGTCCACTTTTACTGTTAGAAAATAAGCCCTTGAAGATTCCACAGAGCCCTTAGGTCTCCTGGAACCAGTTCTAACACCAGGTGGCAATTATAGTCTCTGGCAGCACTTCTCAGACCTTGAGTGTATGCCTTCAGGCAAACCACAAACTCCTAGAGGTCAGGGACTGTGCTTTTTCCTCTGGCACTTGGGGTGCCTTTTACATGTGAAACAATCAGCTGACCACATGATCCTAGGAGAGCAGTGAGGATGCTCCTGGCACAGTAGGGGAATATCCTTTTGGAGCAGAACCAGGGCCTAGCTGTGCCACACTGATGCTCTCTGTTACTGCCAGTCTGTCTGGCCTATGGAGCCTTTGCACCAGAGCGTCTTCTGCCAAGCCTTTTTCATGAGTGGGCAACTAGGTGTTCCTACAGGATACCTCTAGGTATCCCAAACACTGATGACCCTTACCATGTTCTACCCTGTGGTCATGTCTTTAATTTAATTAAAGGCACTATAAGCACTTTGACTGCCTTTTTTTTTTTTTAAATGATTAAACCCAGGAGGGCTTTACCACTGAGCTACATCCCAGTCTTTTTTTTTTTTTTTTTTTTTGAGACAGGGTCTTGCTAAGTTACTAAGCTGGCCTCAGACCTGTGATCCTCCTGCCTCAGTCTGAGTAGCTGAGATTGCAGGCATGAGCCACTGCATCAGGCTCCTGTCTTCATCCTTTAAAGAATGTCTTACATGTACACAGCACTTTATCTGTTTTCTCACTTGACCCTCACAATGGAGCTGTGAAGGAGGTGTTGTCTGTCTGTTGGAGGTTTGCTAAGATCTTTTAGCAATAAAGATCTACTGTATGAACAAAGATGACAAAAGAGGCAGGGCACAGTGGCCCAGGCCTACAATCCCAGCGATTCCAGAAGCAGAAGGAATCGAAAATTCAAGGTCAACCTGGGAAAATTAGTGGGACACTGTCTCAAAACAAGAGAAGGACTAGGGATTGTTTTTTAAATATAATTTTACTTTGGGGCATTGGAGATTGAACCAAGGCTTAAAATTGAGCCACTTCAGGCTGAGGTGGTAACTCAGTGGTACAGTGCTTGCCTAGCATGAGTAAGGCACTGGGTTCAATTCTCAGCACCGCATATAAATAAATAAAATAAAGGTCCATTGACAACTAAAAAATATTTTTTAAAAAATTGAGCCACATCCCCAACTGTTTTTATTTTTTTTTATTTGTGTGTGTGTGTGTGTGTGTGTGTGTGTGTGTGTGTGTGTGTTTATTTTCTAAGAGGTCTTTGTTAGGATCTTGCTTAAGGCCTCACTAAATTGCTAAGGCGGACCTTGAACTCTCAATTCTCCTGCCTCAGCCTCCCTGTAATCCCAGTCACACGACACTATGACAGGCAGGACTGGGGATGTAGCTTAAAAAAAAAAAGAAAAAAAAATAGACAAAGGAATCTCCTTTCCATAGGCTCTGGGTTGTCTCAAGGCATTGAAGGGTACTAGAACTTTAAAGACTATAGTTTTGAGAAGTTCTCCATCTTGTCTAAAGGGCTTTTTTCTGACCTTAGTAAGGAGGAACTTTGGGCTCTACCTATAAAACTTTGTTGTGAGTATGAAGGTGCACAGGACAAAACCATGAATACAAAGTACCATAACACAAGGCAGAATGTGGAAGAGGTCCTCAGGGAGGCAAGAGATGGGGTCAAACAAGCTCAGAGAAAGCAATTAGGGTTGATGAAGGTCAAGGAGCAGTGAAACATCATGGACAGGCAGAATTTTATATTTTCTCCCCTAGTTCTAGGGATTAAACCTAGGAGTACCCTACCACTGAGCTACATCGTCAGCACTTTCTAATTTTTAATTTTGAGACTGGATCTTCTTGCTAATTTGTCCATGGCCTCAAACTTGTGATTCTCCTGCCTCAAACTGCTGAGTAATTGAACTTATAGACATGTGCCACTGCACCCAGTAACAGGCAGAATCTGAGCTGATATTCAACCAATGGAGAGGATATTTGGACAGAAGTAGGGTATATGCAAGGAGGAGACTTCTCAGTGGGAATAAGAGGTAAAGTGCCGTGAAATGGAAGAGCTTGCTCAGGGTAGAGTTAGTCAGCCTAGAACATGGATATTTGAGAAGTTCCTGTCCAAAGGATTCACTTACCTCTCTAAAGCTATTTTTTTTTAAATTTTTATTTTTTAGTTGAGTTGGACACAATACCATTACTTTATTTATTCATTTTTTAAACGTGCTGAGGATCGAACCCAGCACCTTGCATATGCCAGGCTAGTGCTTCTAAAAGCTATTTCTTTATCTGCAAAATGGGATAATGGTATCCACCCTACTGCACTGTTTGAGAAGCAATGAGATAAAGAATGGCCAGCCTAGCGCCTATATTAACTATCAGCAATTTTACCACCATGCTGGTGGCCAGGTCTACCCAGGCCAAGTTCTGACAGGACAGAAAGGAAAGGGGGACCCAGCCCCAGAGGGAAGAAATGCAGGGTTGGTTAAAGGCACTTAGTGAGGCTCAGGATTCCTCCCAACAATGGCTTCTGATGGGATGTTGGACATGGAGGCTGTAGCCAAGGTAAAGCCTGACCCCTATTTGCCAGGAATCACATCCTCACTGTGAGGATGACAGTTGAGACCACTGCTAACACCATCTGTTACAGCCTCATTTCACAGACAAGGACACTAAGGCTGAGATGGGAAGGGATTTGGCCTAGGCCACACAGTTCCTTTGGTTCTCCAAGGTGGCATTTGGGGAAGATGATGGAAATGTGTCCTGCTTCTATGGTTAACCTGTAATTTCTAGGGTGAAGTGGGGAAGCTCATGATCTGCTTCTAGATACCTGTCTATCCCCATGTGGTCTGGGTCTACTCTCCTAAACTCAGAGGTACCTGAGGTTCTTCTCAGGTACTCACCCTCCAGAAAATCCAAGCTAACATGTCCTGAAGGTCAATGTTTCTCTTCCTGACAATATGTCAGAAGGGAAATAAGTTTTAATTCTTTTTTTGGGGGGACTAAGCACTAATTGAGCCCAGAGGCACTTGACCACTGAGCTAACATCCCCAGCTCTTTTTATTTTGAGACAGGGTCTTGCTAAGTTGCTGAAGCTGACCTTAAACTTGCTGTCCTATTGCTCAGCCTCCTGAGTAGCTTACAGGTGTGCACCACCACACCTGGGTGAGTATATTAAATCCTTCAGAGACCTTTTGTTTAGACCTTATACAATCTTGGCACAAGGCTCCAAGAAACTCACTTTGAGAAATGTGGCCTAACATCAATTTCCCCTTAGACACTAGGCCTTTTTGCTTTTCTTTTTGGAAAAATCAAGGAACAAGATGTAATAGACCCTCTAGGACGTAAATCCTCAAGTTCTCCACCTCCTTGCTGGTGCCTGGAGAGAGGCTGTAGTTCCTGGGCTTCAAAACATTTAAGGGCTGTGGTGAGGGTGTTTGCCTAGCACACACAAGGGCCCAGGTTCAGGCCCCAGAACTGCCAAAAATAAACCAATGAAAAGTCCTCTTTAAAGCTACAACCAGCATGCTCAGGCCAGCAACCTGGGGACCACACCTGTGAGGGCTGCCCTTGAATAAAGAGAGCAGAGAGCACCTCCTACAGGAAGCATGATGATCTCAAGTGCCCCCAGAGTCTACCTGGAAATTGTACTGAGGATGGGATGAGCAGGGGCTATGTGTATATAGCTTCTCTAGAGACAGGAAAAGTCTGATTAGGGGCCCAGAAACACTTGCAGTAGATCATATTAGCCACTTTTCATGTATTAGCTTACTGAATCCTTATCACATATCTGAGGTAGATATTATAATTGTCATAATCCTCTCATTTTATAGATGAGGAAAATGGTACTGTAGTTAGGCAGATGGCTAAGTAGGCAGTGCTGTGATTCAAAATGCCAAAGATAATAGCTGGAGCTCTTAACTTCTCCTGAGAATACAGTGACTGTATGAAGAGCACTGTGAACATAATAGTCCATCAGCCTGGTTTAAACTTTGACCAGTGCACTGAAGGAAATTTTGTGGGACTACATGTCTTCTTCATCTATTCTATCAGGCTTACAGTTAGGTGGACAGACATCTTTTACTTACCTCTGTTTACCCATCTTGAGCTCTCATGGACCCACATTCATGCAAATTGAGGACCAGATGCTCTGAACTGCCCCTCATCTTCCCTGGCCTGATTTCCTATCTCCCTTTTGACAATACCTACTATGTCATAGCCAAGATTTTCTCCCTTTGCTAGCCTCCCAACCCCAGGTAGGTGACCACTGGTGACTGTCATGGTCCTTCAGATACCTAGGTCTAGCTCCCAACAACTTGTAGCTGTGCCCTTCATCCCGTAAACTGCTCTACGTCCAGAACCTACCCCTGCCCTCTGCTCCTGCAGAGAACAGGGATACACTGGTTGGGTCTAGAGACAGAGCAGCTCGGATTTCTACACCCCTTTTTATTGGTGCATTACAATTATACATAACAGTGGGATTTGTTATAATATATTCATACATGCACACAACAGTATAATTTGATCAATTTTAAGCTCAAATTTTGACAATAGAATTCAGTTGGGCCACAAAACAGGGTATGTAACAAGGAGTTAAGAGAAAAGGTTGGAAAGGTCTTTCAGGCCTGAGGCCAGACTTGTGAGAAGGATGTTATCCAGTCTGGATTCACCCCTTAGCACTTCTGCTAATGTGCAAATGTTTCTAGAAAAGAGCTTTGAGGGTTGCTGAATAGAGAAAGCCAGGCCAGCCCCTGACCCTGCTAGAAAGGCTTAAGTCAGTGTCTCTGTTATAACTTCAGTTTCCTTACTCCAAAATTGGGGGCAATGATAGTATGTACTTTATAGCACCTTACAGAATCTAGGTAAAGGATGTCTGTAAGAGTAGGAGCTCAATGAAGGTCTACACTTATGATTCACAGGTACAAAACGGAATTCCTGACTCTACCCCATCCAAGGAAATGGTAGAGCTATCCATTCAACTGCATAGATCACAACCTATATATCCTGGTTTCTAAAAATATTAGTGTTTGTACTGAATTGCTTTATCTTACAAGAAACTAAGAGTTTCAGAATTATATCATCAACATTAGCACTAACAACAGACCTCTTAAGTAATGTTTAAATCTGTTTTCCAGTTTAAATCCCAAGTAGATTTCACTGAAGATATATCATCAGAGAACTGTATGCAGGTAACTTGAATGAACTTCTTTCTTTTGGTACAGGGGTATTGTCACCTTGATATACTTAGTTTCATTTGTTTCTGCTCTTTTTTCTTTTGGTTGGGGGGCAGTACAAGGATTGAACCCAGGGGCATTTAACCACTAAACTACATCCTCAGCCTTTAAATTTTTTATTTGTTCTAATTGACAGAAGAATTCATTTTGACACAACATACATAAATGGAGTATAACTTCTCATCTTCTGATTGTATATGATATGGAGTTACACAGGTTGTGTAATCATATATGCACATAGAGTGATGTCTGATTCATTCTATCATCTGTCTGATTCTACTATCATCCCTACCCCCAAACCCCTACCCTTCACTTTATGTTATGGTTTAGATGCGAGATGTGCCCCCAAAAGCTCATGTGTGAGGCCATGCAAGATGTTCAGAGGAGAAATGATTGGGTTGTGAGAGTCTTAACCCAATCAGTGAATTAATCCCCTGACAGGGATTAACTGAGTAGTAACTGGTAGTGGTAGGGTGTGGCTGGAGGTAGGAAATGGAGGTATGGCTTTGGGATATACATTCGTATCTGCCAAGTGGAGTCCTCTCTCTCTCTCTCTGCTTCCTGATCACCACGTGAGCTGCTTCCCTCTGCCCCACTCTTCCACCATGATGTCCTGCCCCAAGGAATAGAGTCTGCTGTCTATGGATTAAGACCTCTGAAACCTTCAGTCCTTAAATAAGACCCTCAGGCTGGCCTCAAAATTAAGGTCAGTTACCTCAGCCTCTCCTGATTTCAGGTACGTATAACCACATCCAGAGCTGTTTTTGATTTAATGTTCATTTTTATCCCTAACCTTCAGTCCTCCCCTACTCAACTGCCACTACCCTACCTAGAGGCACATCTCTCTCAACTCTGGTGATAGCAAAAATTTGGTCTCTTGCCTCTGAGTCCTGCCCCTGAAACTCCTAAGTGATTTTTACCAAATACCAATCGGATCCTATCATGCCCATGATTTTTTTTAATTTTATTTATTTATTTTTAAGTTTTCAGGGGACACAACATCTTTGTATGTGGTGCTGAGGATCAAACCCGGGCCGCACACACGCCAGGCGAGTGCGCTACCGCTTGAGCCACATCCCCAGCCCTCATGCCCATGATTAAGACCATCGGTTTTGTTCCCATGGCTTACCAAGTTCTGCACCATCAGAAGTCTGACTCCCTCCAGTCTCATCTCACGCCTTCCACTTAGGCACACTGGCTTTTTAAGACTGTTCTGCTAAGACCCCAACATCACAACTTCAGTAAGTACCTTGCACTCAACTATTTCCTTAGTACATCACTCTGTGTATTCTTCATTGGCTTATTACAATCAGGAATTTTCTATTTGTTTACTTGTTTATTGTAAACAATAAATAAATAAATTCCTAGTTGTGTCTCCACAACTATGAATATAAGCTCCACAAAGGCAGAGACCTTGTCTGGCCAGCTAATTGGTGACTCTCCTCTGTCTTTGTGCCTGACTCATTCTAGGGATTCAACAAAAATTTACAGAATAGATGAAACCTGGGGTAACTACTCTGACAACCCTGTGAAAAGTATCGGTGAAACCTGAAATTACTAAAAAAGACTCCTGGGCAGCCAGATTGGAGGTTCATCCACAAGAGTATCCATACATAAAAGCTCATGCACCAAGCTTCTCAAGGTTGCATGCAAGGCCAATCTGCTCTTACTTTATACACACAATTCTAACATGCTTGGTTAAGTGATTTCTTTGCTGATCTAAAACAGTAAAGAGGAAGGCAAGAGAGGAGAGATGCTGTCAAAATTAGCCATTGACAGCAGTAGGAAATGAAAGAAGGAAGACACAGAATACACAAAAAATACTGAAGCCAGATATTTTGGGACCATCTAATTTAGAGAACACAGTTCCACTTTACAAGGGTATCACTGTACAGTGAATTGTTTAAAGGTGGCAGTTACCATTATCATCATCATCATCATCATCATTAGAAGTGACTGTTCTAATCATCAACATCATAAGCGAATGCCTGGTCTATAGGAGGTGTTGATGAATTATATGCGAGACACATTTCAGAAAGTTTTCCAACAAAAGGGTTTTAAAAGTTCTTTGAGGGCTGGGGTTGTGACTCAGTGGTAGAGTGCTTGCCTAGCACATGTGAGGTCCTGGGTTCAACTGTCAGCATCACATAAAAAATAAATGAATAAGATAAAGCTATGAGAGGCTGGGGATGTGGCTCAAGTGGTAGTGCGCTCGCCTGGCATGCGTGCGGCCTGGGTGTCTGCCGAGAACTAAAAAAGAAATAGATATTAAAAAATTCTCTCTCTCTTAAAAAAAAAAAAAGATAACCTCATTAAAAAAAAAAAGTTCTTTGAGGGAGCTTTGGTCTTGTGAAAAAATCTGATATTCATTCCTCAGCACTGAATAATTGAACTTTCCTGTTTTCACTTGTTCTAAACTTCTTTCCTCATATTTTGAGTTTCAGTGATCAAACTGATGATCAAATTTTTGTGATTTATTGACTTATACCAGGAGTTCTGAACTTGGGATTCATTATATAAATCCCTTGAAAGTATTCTATGTATTCGATCGATAAATGAAATTTCATGGAAAACTAGTCTGCAATTGTTTTTTAAGGAAGATGGCCTACAGCTTTCATTAGATTCCCCAAAGGGCCCTAAGACCAAGGAGGTTGAGAAGCCCTGACTTAACATTTTTTTTTTTCCAGTCCATTATCTCTAAAGACTTAAGAAGTAGCATCTGCTTTGATTTTAAAGTTCAGGTTCCTAGTTCTGTAGCAGTTACTTAGTATGGGACAGTTATAGTCTCTTTACCCATCTGTTTTCATATTTGAAAGATCAGTGCACAAGGTCCTGGGTTCAATCCCCAGCACCAAAAAAAAAAAAAAAAAAAAAGTCACCAAACCTGTTGAATTGTTTGGAAGAGTTAAATAAGAAAATGTATATGAAATCACCATAGTAAATCCCCATTATGTGAGCCACCATCACCCACACCCATTATTATTAAGTGCTAATCAGATGCAGGTGACTACCTCCTAAGGAAAACCCTTTCAAGATCTGCTGATCAAAATTGAAGTAGAACTACAAGTCTTGGCACAATACAGTTCCATGCAATAGAAAAACAATTCTATTTTCTTCTTAACCCTTTCTGGAAAATGCCTAGATTTTGTATACCAATGTTAAACAATTTTTCTGTTTTTTTTGTTTGGTGTGTGTGTGTGTGTGTGTGTGTGTATGTGTGTTGGTGGTGGTGGTAGTGAAGACAGAGGTCTTGCTGTGTTGTCCCAGCTGACCTCAAACTCACATTCTTCCTGCTTCTCCCTCTTAGGACCACAGGCATGTATCACTGCACCTAGCTACTCTTTTCAAAGGCTTATTATAATCAATCTCTCTAAGAAACATTTTCTTGGGTTTTTAAGAGGTTAGACTTGTACCCAGAACCTAACTCCTATCTCTTATTGCATTTATGTCCTTGACTAAACTATTTCCCGTCTATTTACTCATTTGTATACGGGAGGCTAATAAGACCTATCTCAATGGGTTCTTGGGAGCATTAAATGAGATATATCAACATGCTTATCAGAAGATGTTGGTATACAGCACGGTGGTCCATCAGTGCTAACCTTTTCTTCAATCCCTTCCAGACAGGCCGGCCTCAAACTCTTACCTGAAGCATGCTATGGTTCATCTGGAACTGCAGGATAGCCTCACAGAGGTTCCAAAATGTATATTCTGGCCATAGAACAGGTTGGAACACTAGGCAGGAGTGGGAAGTCTGGGAAAGACAGGGAAGGAAGAGTATGGTTTATTTATTTATTTATTTATTTATTTATTTATTTTTTAAGAGAGAGAGAATTTTTTAATATTTATTTTTTAGTGTTCAGCAGACACAACATCTTTGTTTGTATGTGGTGTTGAGGATCGAACCCAGGCCGCACACATGCCAGGCGAGTGCGCTACCGCTTGAGCCACATCCCCAGCCAAGGGTATGGTTTAGTAATGTGCTGCTGGGCTACAATGTTGGTGACTCTCCCAATGGAAGGACAGGCTGAGCAGGAAGCCCAGAAATGAGATAGCATAGGCATCCTGAGCTGCAGTGGCTTCCCTGACCAGCCCTGATTCCCTCATGGATGGGGGAGGGGTAATCTGAGGCAGTGAGATCACCAGCCTGTGACAAGCAGAACTAAAACAAGTCTCAATCAACATCTCCACCAAGATTTTTCTAAGAGCCAATTTTAGGAATATGAAATAACATCTGGATTATGTTATTGGCTCTTGGCTCTTAGAGGTCATCTAAGAGACACTGTCTGATAAAAGTCAGCAATGAATAAATAACATTGTTATTTTAAAATTAACCATGGTGCCATGCTGCTGCTACTTAAAAATATGGGTTCTGCATTCTGACTTCCTGGATCTGAATTCTGGCTCCATCATTTACCATCTATTTGAACTGGGGTGAGCTATTTAACCTCTTTGGGCCTCAGTTTCCTCAAGTATGAAGTTGGATAATAAGAGTATTATTTAGGGTACTATATAAATTAAATGTACATAAAGTAGAGCACAGAATAGGACAAACTTAAATAATAATCACTGAACTTTTTTGGAAACTTTTTTTTTTTCCCCCAGAGTGCTGGGGATGAAACCCAGGGCCTCACACATGCTAGGCAAACACTCGGCCACTGAGCTACAACTCCAGACCCTTATATTTTTTTTGAGACAAGATCTTAGTTGCTGAGGCTAGATTTGAACAAAGTTGCTGGGATTACAGGCATGAGCCTCTGGAACTTCTGATGGCTACCACTTGCTACTTTTAATGGTAAGGAGTTCAGTGCCTCATGGCAGATAACATTAGTTGTTAGCCTGCTGTCCTAAAATAGTGTTTGTTTCCCCACAACTTATACCATGGCCCCAAGTGTTTTCTCTGGGATAAGTATATTTCTTCAAAGTAATATTCTTCCAAATATTTGAAGGCTAGATTAGACCTGTCATTCCATAGGTTTTAATGACTTGTGCAGAATTTTGACTTTGCCAATAAATTTTAAGTTTCAAAACAGCAGGGATCATTTCTAACTTGGTCACTGCTATCTTTCCAGCACAAAGGAAGAAAAACTCAACTTAGTGTTTTTTTTAGGGAATAAACTGTAACCTTTTCCAGACCACTATCTTCCTCTCATTTCTTCTAAGACACGAGACTCTTTATATTCTCTAGATCGGCCTCTTCTGTTAAATCCTCTACTTTACCAATGTGGTCTCTTAAAGTTCAGTGCCCATAAATTCTAAATGTGATCTGAAGAGCGGAGTGGGCCACAGAACCATTAGGTGTACATTATAATTCCTTCAATGCAGCCAATACCTGAAAGCATCTTCAGCAGCTAATTATTAGTTCATGTAGACTATGGTTCATTGAAATTTCTGGACTTTAACCTTGTGAACTGCTTCCAAGTTGAGTCTTCCTCCAACCTCTCCTTGAAAAAGGATTTTCCCTAGTCATGTGCTACCCAAGGATCAAGTAACAGCAAAAACAATCTTATTTTTAAGCAAAACCAAACTTAACTGGATATGGGGTCCAATTATGAGCCAAGAGGAAACAGCAAAACCCTCAGGATGTGGATGTAGTTTAAATCCTGCATGGGCCAAGCTTGCATACATAAGGACCTTTATTCTGAAAAGGAGAGGCTGGTAACTGCAAGATAAGATCTAGCCCAAAGGTGCTAGGATAAATAGCAGGTCACCAGTGTTTCAAGGCCCCATTGGCTGAATAGGGACACAAGTGAAATATTCACTAAGGTTGGGTGGCCTTGAGTTTCCCTCTAGACTGGATACCATACACTTTGGAAATCAAGAAGCATACAGGTTTGCAAAGCCAGGGTCAGATGAGGAAGGGAAAGCAAATGTTGCCAGGCATAGCCTACAGATACTTCTCCAGATTTTAGCCCCCTGCCCCAAGTTCCCTGGTCCCAGCATGGCTGAGAGTGGGGACAAACCAGTTTCATTCAGTCTGGGTACAGTTGTAATTCTTAGCCTGACACAAACATAGTGGTGCTTGGAAACCACGTACCTGCCACAGCAAGAAGTCACTCAGCCGCACTTCTCCAGAAGTCCGTATCAAGATGTCCGGGTGAGGAGAGTGGTTGGTATAGAGGCACTTATCGAGCAGAGACTCAGAGATATCACTAGGGTAAACAGGAGACAAAAGTACACATTCCTTTTTGTAGTACTCTTCTGGTGAATTTTCATGCATAAAGTTCCGGTTTACAGACCACTATCAAATATACACTCTAGAGCTAGGGATGTAGCTCAGTGGTAGAGTTTGCCTATCAAACGTGAGGTCTCAAGTGTGAGCTTGCAAGTTTAATACCCAGCACTGCAAAATAAAAACAAAAACAAAACCAAAACCCTTGCAAATATTACCTGTTACAGAGAAGGACCTCAACAAATGTTTGCTAAATTCACAAATTATTTATTTTATTGGTGCTGGGGAACAAACCCAGGGCCTCACACATGCTAGGCAAGTGCTCTACCATTGAGGTACATGCCCAACTCCATGAATAATTTTAAATCCTCACAACTACATAAGGTAGGGGCTGGAGTTGTGGCTCAGTGGTAGAACTCTTGTCTATCATGCGTGAGGCACTGTGTTTGATCCTCAACACCACATAAAAATAAAATGAAGGTATTGTGTCCACCTACAACTAAAAAAAAAAATTAATAAGGTATTTATTTTATTGTTTTTGTTTTTGTGTACTAGGGACTGAACCTAGGGGTGGGTCTATCATTAAACTACACCTCCAGGCCATTTTATGTTTTATTTTGTGACAGCGTCTCACTAAGTTGCCCAAGCTGTCCTTAAATTTGCAATCCTCCTGCTTCAGCTTCCCAGGTATCTAGGATTATAAGTGTGCATCACCATGCCTGGTATATTCAATATTTCCATCCTCATTTTATAGATAAGGAAACTGAGTCTCAGAGAAGATGAATAATTTGCCCAAAGTCACTTAGCTGCAACACTAACACAAGATGTACCCTCTACAATATGTATTTCCCCTCAATTAAAATTTGTTTCTAAAAAGCATATACAAGGGCTGGGGATGTGGCTCAAGTAGTAGCGCACTCGCCTGGCATGCGCAAGGTGCTGGGTTTGATCCTCAGCACCACTTAAAAATAAAATCAAGATGTTGCGTCTACCGAAAACTAAAAAATAAACATTAAAAAAATTCTCTCTCTCTCTCAAAAAAAAAAACAACAACAAAACATATACACTATATACACTATGATCCAGCAATTTGATAAAATACTACACAACTATTTAATTTTTTTAATAAAGATAAATCTAAATATACCAATTTGGAAAGATGCCCTAAGTCTAATGTTATCTGGAAAAAGCAAGTTTTAGAAGATATACAATGTGGGCCGAGGATGTGGCTCAAGCGGTAGTGCGCTTGCCTGGCAAGCGTCCGGCCCAGGTTCGGTCCTCAGTACCACATACAAACATAAGATGTTGTGTCTGCCAAAAAACTAAAAAATAAATATTAAAAAAAAAAAATCTCTCTTAAAAAAAAAAAAGGCATACGACGTGAAAAACAAACACATATCGCTATACTCAAAATACTCGCATGCATGAACATTTATGTGAAAAAGAAAGTCTAAAAAGCCACATGTATACTATTAACACTGGGTTGTACAAGAAATAAGGAATGGAAACACCATCTCTCTTTATATACTTCTGTTATTATTTGGATTCAGTATCAGGAGCATTTTCAGTTAGATATATTGGTGCACACCTGTAATTCCAGTGACTTGGAAGACAGAGGCAGGAAGATCTCAAATTTAAAACCTCCCTTAACAATTATCAAGACCCTGTCTCAAAAATTAAAAAGGGGGACTGGGTTTGTGACTCAGTGGTAGAATCCTTGCCTAGCATGCATGAGGCACATTAAAAAATACATAAAGATATTGTGTCCACCTAAAACTAGGGAATAAAATATTTTTTAAAAAATTAAAAAGGGTCTGGAATGTAGCTCAGTGGTAGACACCCAGGGTTTAATCCTCAGTACCATATAATCAAAACAAAAAGAGAATTTTTAAAACCTTATTTAAAGTCATATGGATTCTAAAACATTGTAAAAACATCCATATTATTTGGGATTTTGTGTGTATGTGTGCTAGGGATTGAACTTGGCCTTGTATATGCTAAGTATATACTCTTACCACTGAGCTAAACTCTCAGGACCTCTTCACTTCCCTTCACTTATTTTTTATTGAGACAATGTCTCACTGAGTTGCTGAGGTTGGCCTCGAAATTTGCAATCCTCCTGCCTCAGTTTCCCAAATCTCTAGGATTGCAACCATGGATGGTATTAGTCCTCAGGATTCTAAACAAACAAAATGATCAGTTTTCTTGTTCAATCCTTAGTACCACATAAACAAAACAAAAAGAGCATTTTAAAAAATTCAGGCAGTGGGCAAAATGCTCTTAGAAAAGAAATAACTCTAAAAGGGGAAAGATAAAATGGACAAAATCAAAATGAAACATCTGTAGATTTTGGGCAACAAAAATCTACCAATGAATGGCACTTGCTGACTACATGAAGACTTCTCAGAAATACTATATATTAAATAACAGTAAAATACCGGCTTTGAACAAATTAGAATAGTTGACATTTAAAAATCTCTGCAGTGGGTATGCTGGTGGTACCTCTAATCCTAACAACTTCAGAGGATGAGGCAGGAAGATCACAAGTTCAAGGCCAGCCTAGAAAATTTACACACCCTGTCTCAAAATAAAAAGGGCTGGGGGTGGGTATCTCAGTGGTTAAAGCATTCCTGCATTTAATCCCCAGTACCAAAGCTATTCCCCCAACCAAAAGTGCAATCTTGGCAAGAATGAAATGAAATGGGGATCTCCAGACCCAGATCCTGAGGAAGCAATCCAAAATGCAGACAAGAATTAAACTCAAGAATTTCAGGTTGGGTATGGCAACTCAAGCAGCAAATCCAGAACCACGGTTTCGTACCTGAAGTGGAGGAGCAGGACCTTGAACTCAACCTGTGTCTTCTGCTTGAGAAAGCAGAATGAAATGTCTCTCAGCAACACATGCTTCCACTAGTATCAGTGTGTAGACTTGTGGGTGTTAACTTCAAGTTTAGCTTGAATAAAGGGATTTGGGCGACCATTTACCTTAATTACTGTTAGATTTGAAATGTCTTTGAAGAATAGGGTTGACACAGATGCAGCAATATGGAAGACTAGAAGATGGGATTATAATGGCACTTCCTTCCTCCACAGAAAATCTTAA